GGAAGAACCACCACCCCCACCTTCGCCACCTGCTGCACCCGGTTCAGTACCTTCCGCTTGAGTACTTGCGCTACCGTGGTCGCCGCTCGACCCCGGTTGATTTGGGTTCGGGTTCGGTTTTGGTTTGGGTGGATTGAGAGGAGGGTGGTCATCGTTGCCGCCGCCATCGACGGCGGGCACGGTGTTACCGGCCCCTGGTGTTGCGTTTGATGTTGTTTCTGTTCCTGTTGTTGTGGTTGTTGGTGGTGGTTGTGGTTCAGATCCCCCTGCTGCTGCTGGTTCTGCTGGTGGCCCTGACGCTGACTTATCCTCACTAGTTTCTACATCCTTAGCTTTAGGCTTCTTATCTGAACATCGGGGCAAGTGGTAGAATAGGTATCGAAACTAAAGTTTGAGTTAGAGGGTTGAGCATGATTGACCACACGATTGACCGACGAAGGGCACGGGGTAGGGTGCCACTCCGGGAAAAGACTCTCTCTCTCTCCCACACACAACACACAACACAACACACACAGTGTGTGTGTGGCGACCTGTCCGTCTGTCGACGTCTACAACCCGCGTCCGACTCAGCGATCTTGGCATCCTCATTCTCATTCGACGTTTGGTGTCTCTCTCTCTGCGTTGTCTCCCCCTCTCTCTCCGGAAATGTTTTGTGTTTGTTGCTGTTGTTTTTGTTGTTTTTGTTCTTTGTTTTTTTTGCATCTATGCTCTGTGGCATTTGTGTACTCTCTGTCGTATAATACTCTACTGTTAGTCCATCGGCCTATACCTGAACATTCAGATGATGGTATGTTACTGCTGAAAGTAATTTGGACACTACCGACGTTTCCGTCCTTATCAGTACTTGCATGCCCTGCTGTGTTAGTGCACTTACCCGATGGCGGCGTCTGCGTGATGTCATCCTCAGGCGTACCTGACGTGCTTCCTGTATTCTGATATACCGTTCCGGAGGATCCGGGACCTGGTGCTAGTGGCGGTGGGGGTTGTTGTCCAGGTCCTGGTCCGTTACTTGCGCCCGGTCCTGTGGATGTCGTTGGTCCTGGTTTTTCTACCGGTGGTTGGGGCAATACTGGTGGTGCAACATCTTGTGGAGTCTCTGCGCGTCCAAGTCCTCCGCCCCCTATGCCACCTGTTGTGGGTGGTGACGTCTGTACGGCTGACTCTGGCTCCTTCTCTTCTGTGTTGTCCCCATGACTTCCTTCCGCCGCCTTGTCCTTTTCCTTGTCCTTGCTCTTATCCTGTGCTGCAATGAGGGATGTACGAAAGATGGATGAGAAAGATGATAACAACAACAGAACACAAGTGGCACAGAAAGAAGGGGGCGGGACGGTTGCGTCAAGTAACGGCAGGG